CTGGGAGGGCTGGGGCGGGCCCACCACAGGCACCTTCTGCGCCCTTCGCAGCGTCTCGCTGCTTGCCAGCCACCCGTCCGTCGAGGCCTCTCGTCGTGCCCTGTGCCTGGCCACTCACCCCAGCGAGGGCTCTCCCCCTGCCCCAGAGCAACTTCAGACGACCCCACGGCAGATACCAGGGCGGTACCCAACCACCCAGCCCTGCTCCGCACCGGCAAGCGAGCCCCGCTGAAATCTGTCCAGCTTCTGCCCCTGGCTCTTGGTCCGGCTCTTTGGCAGGTGGCATTGCCCCCAGGAGTGCTTACACACGGTCACCAAATCACCTCTCAACTCCCGCTGCTCCGAGACGAGGAGCAAGATGCTGGAGCCCTGCTGAAGCTGCTTCTCCGCGCTTGAGCTGCAGGTATTTCGCACACCCAAATGCGAAGTCCTAGAACCCACTCGCATGCACCTAGAGTAAGGGAGCGCCGGGCACGCTCACCTCACCACCGGCAGCTGTGAGACGCTACGGGACCAGCCCCAGTGGGTCTCGTGTCCTCACAACCGGCCAGTGGGCAAGGCCGGAGCCCCTTCACCTGACAGAGCCATGACAGACACAGGCCGGGGTTGGGGCGGCAGCATCGCAGACAGGGGTCTCTGGCAGCGGATGGATTTCTATCACGCTACAGCAGGACGAGACCCACTGCTGAAAGGCAAGTGGGTGAGTCTTTCAAGGAAGACAATTAACCCATAGAGCAGCTTCTCCACCACCCAAGGCAGGCTCTCCAACCCTCTCCTTCCCGAAGGCATCCCCAGCAGCTGGGTGCAGGTCTGACAGGACAGCTTCAGACATCTCCAGCCTGGAGCAGCGGCCATGCCTGGTGATGGGGGTACAGCCCTCATGCAGGACGGGCAGAACTCTGCCCACACCCGACACCCTTTCCTCTGAGCAGGCAGGGCCCAGTTCGTGTCCCCACCATTACGTGGGGCACATGGAGCTCCTGCTGCAGCCTCCAGCCCCAGAGCAGCCAGTACAGCCGGTGGAACAGGGGCTCAGTTGGCTGCAGGAGTCTTCTCACGCCCCAGGATGAGACACTGCTGTCGCAAAAGGCACAGGAGAATGGGGAGCAGAGCTGGGAAACAGGCAGAGCTCAGAGAGGCCGTGCAGAGGCAGCTGCCCCACTCCCAAGGGCAAAAACCAGCAGCTCCAGGTATGCATCCACTCCGACACAGCACTACCAGCACCGGGGGATCGACGCTTCCCCTACGAAAGCGTACCGGCAGCACAGCAGGATGAGGGCCTTGTGCTGGATACGGCAGACTGCGGAAGCATCGGCTCCAGGCTCTCCGCAGAGCGGAGGCAGGAGGACCTTGTTCTTCCCTTCCCCCAAGCAGCAGAAAAGCTGCAGGCCCAGCTGTCCACAGCCAGCTTCCCCACGCCGTACTCACCGCAGCCTGGGAGGGGGCAGCAGAGCCAGCACGAAGCGTCCCCACCCCTGGGACCTCTGCCAGGTCCCCCCGGGGCAGAGGGGGGCTGCAGACTGGAGAGCCCAGGCACCCAGCAGCACCTGCCCAGGCAGCAGCGCCCAGCCAACAGTCATACGCGGGAGCTGCTGCCTGGAGGACAGCCTTGGAAGGGGCAAAAGCTTTGCTCCTCTGCCCTTCTGGTGCTCCCCAGCTTCACAATGGGGCTACGGACGCTGTGTACGCTCCCCCCTGCGCTAAACTACCTGGATGGGAGCCGAAAGGCCCAAACCAGCTTGCGCCTGTGCCTCCAGCACGCCTCGCGTGGGGCAGTGCCAGCGCTGGCAGGAGCCGGGCAGAGCAGCGCGGAGCTGCCCGCTGCCTGCTCCAGCAGCCTCCTCCCTGCTCTGGGCAGTAAGGCAGAGCTCCGCATTCCCACAGCCCAGAGAGCCGCCTCTTGCACGCTGAGCAGGCAAGCAGGGTTAGCCCCACACAGGGAGGACACCACCAGGCTCCTGCAGCAGGACAGGGACATTGCCAGGGGCACAGTGGGGAACCTCTGAGCAGGGGGTGACCCCAAATCAGCCCTTCTTCTCTGCAAGCCTCGCCGGCACGTGCAGGGCAGAGGACGAGCTGCATCCTTGGACGAGAACCATATTTATTTCACAGACACAGAATTGCACTGGTGGTTGATTCTACGCACACCGGGGACGTGCAGCAGGAGGGCCCCGAGGGCTGGGCCAGGCTGCTGGGGGCAGAATTCACACAGAGGAGTTTGTTTCTTCTGAGGGCCGATCGATCGGCGGGATGGGGCTCTGCACAGCCGGGCTCCTGCTCCCGCCGCTGGGCAGCTCCCGCCCCCGTCCAGGATAGAAACATTAAATAAGTATATA